TCATCCAGACATGCCTGGACTTGTGTTTTCCAAGCACATGGACTGAGGGTGTAAAACAGACACAGTGGCCTCATGTTAGGCCTTTCTAGTTCACCCACCTACGCTGCAAGCAACAAGGACACTCTGAAGACTCCAACTGGGGGGACTGGCCCAGATTTCAGGGGTGAAATCTGTGTACTATGAACTGCAATATGCAGTGGGGTGAGAAAAACTGCTTAGTCTAGTTGTTGTCCAGCCTAATAGGGTTGAGAGTTTAGACTACATGCTCATATTTTATTTCTTTTGGTACCTGACTCTGACTTTTTGCCTATCACTTAATATCATTTGTAGTCAGTAAATATGTTTTACTGTTTATCTTTACCAGTGAGTTTGCCTGAAGTGTGTGGTAAATCTGCTCAGGTTTTGCAAAGACTGGTGTATGTTCACTTTCATTGATGAAGTGGTGAACCAATTAATAAGTCTGCACTGCCCATCTTGAGCAGTGCAAGACAGTATATTCCTAGGGTACAGGGCTGGGAGCTGGATGGGGATTTGAATCAGGTGTCTTTCTCTGTGTGAGTGATGAGTGGCTCGGGGAGCATTCATGCAATCTAGCTGGGTGTGGGGTCTCCACATGCGGTTGTGCTGAGTGATAACAGCACCTGGAGGCGTTGCTGGTGAGAGACATCCCAAGCTGGAGAGAGTTCAGGGGGCACATTGGTCCCACAGTCCCAGGCTGCACCCTGGGGATTCCGTCACACCAACCATTATACTATTATCTCTACTGTACTATTTATACTATTATCTCTTTTTAAACTTCATTCTTGTAGGATGAAAGGTAGAGCACTCTAATTTCTAATTCAGCTCACACTAAAATAATTTATTTCAGGGTAAAAGAGTTACAGCTCAGCTAATAACCTTATGTTATGCTGCAGCTCATGATTTACTAAAAAAAAACCAGTGGAATCCATCAAGCAGGACGTCTTTGCTCCGACTATTAATTTAAAAAGGCACTACAAATATCGGTATTGGACTTCTTATAGCGCTTAGCAATATCTCAAGTTCAATAAGTTCCTGTTTAAAAGATTATAAAGACAAAATAATGTGTAAAATCGCATATGTTATGCTGGTAATAAGAGTAGCAATTTTTTGTTATTGCAACCTAAGAATGTTACACAGGTAACATAACCTTAAGCAGATGAAATGGAATGAATGAAATCTTAAAAATGTACATTTTGGACAAGTTATGCAAACTTGTCTCCATAACATTTTCATTTATATTAAAAATCAATAAGCAAATTTCAGTGTGATTGACCTACTGATATGCAAAACGAATACTTTGATAATATCACTAGTAAATGGGGCTCCTTATATTTTGTTAAAAGAATGAGGAGTACTTGTGGCACCTTAGAGACTAACAAATTTCTTTGAGCATAATCTTTTATGGGCTAAAACCCACTTCATCAGATGCATGCAGTGAAAAATACAGTAAGAAGATATATATATATATATATATATATATATATATATAC